TTTTTTTTTTTTTTTTTTTTTTTTTTTTTTTTTTTTTTTTTTTTTGTTTTTTTTCATCTCCAGTTATAATTACTGCCACGTACTTGTACGTTACAGCCATAAATATTAAATTGTGATTTTTCATATGATCTACACCTCTATATGATACGCGGTATTAAGTGTTTCGATCATGACAATAACAAATATCTGTAAAAGTGGTCTCCCTTTCGCTATATGATTGTAGACAGCTGTCCTCTTTGAGCAGCAGTAGCAGCAGCAAAAGAAGATTGGCGTAACTTTCTCTCTTTTACCCTTTCTGCCGTACGAGCAAAGAATTAACCACGAAGCGAGCAGATATAGATGTGCCACACCCCTGCACTCCGCTAGACAAAATTGGCCGAGAGCCACGTTTATCATCCAAAATAGAGAGAGAGAGAGAGAATGATTGCCCGCAGGTAAATATGTGTATGTATGGGCAGACAGGAGCTACAAATTTTCAGCTCTTGGGAAATTCCTTTAAATAAGCTACTTAGTAGCTCCAGAGAGATAGAGAGTGCCTTTCCCGACTAAGCTGATGCTGTGCTCCTCTGTTTGCGTCGTCGTCCTGTCAGCCAGCTGCAGGGGTCTCCAATTCAAACAAGATTTCACAAGCAGCACAACCCGTGTGTCAACTAGGCCAACGCGATGTTTCGCCTATCTTCTTCTCTTCTCTTCTCTTCCCTTCCTCGGATGCTTGTGAGCTGTGCTCACGATATATGTATACCGTGTATACCTATACCCACCTACGGGAGAAACGGATAGCGCAAACACAGCTTTACAGTTTGGTTTGCCTAAACGTCGTGTCGTTTGGATGACGACTCTCGGTGGCTTAGGTTGCTGCTCTGCTCATCTTGCCGCGTCGTCGTAATCTTTGGCTCGGTCCCTCCCTCCTCCTCCTCCTTCCCGTGTATGCTCATGGGCTTACGGGCAGTCAAAGGCCTCGAATATGTACCCTACTTGACTGGGATCGGCTCACTTGCCTCGGTTAGATACTTATACATACGTGCGAGGAGTACATCAAACCAGCGAGCTTTTGCTCGTGCTACCACCATCATACACGTCGCCATTTACAAAATATACTACTAATTGCTTCACAATATAATTATATGAGAGGATTAGATCAGAATGCACGTTCGGGGCGATCTCACCCCTAAGGGATCCTTCATTGTCTTCGGCTTGCCCCTTGAATGAAAAGTGCCCGAAATAAGATGTCACTTGATTTCGCGTGTAACTCGGAAAATAAGAATAAATAGACACTTAAACTCAAAGGCTCGCCTTTTCATCCTATGTAATCTAAAATGACCCAAACTCCATTGGGGCTCAAATTACAGCTTGTTCAAATGCCTCGGATTTTCCTTTGGGCGAATAAGTATTCTAAACTCTCGATAAGCCTTGTTGCAACTGGAAAAACAAAGCCATGAACTTGACTAATTTTAAAGACAATACTTCACTTGTGGTCAAGTATGCTGTCATGAGTCTGGATGGCGCTTAGTAATTTTTTGCGAAATGTGGCATAAATAATAATTATAACAATAACAATAGCAATATTAATAACAATAATAATAATCGACACTCGACAAAATCAACGTAAAGCTATAGCTAAATTGTCGATGAATTATAAACAGGACACACATTGAACGTAGATTTAAAATAATATTCAAAATAAAATCGAAAAAGTTACGTAGTGTATAATATAAATATTTTGCTGGACTGTAACTATAGGAGTCCAACCTTTCGTGGCCTCGATAGTCTCGATACTGTAGCCAAAGCAAATGAAATGACTTTGAGCATCCCATGCACTGTCAAAACAACACGAAGTAATAAGCCAAACTTTTGTTTGAATCAGAGCCAGGCATTAATCCATTTTAGATGTGGCAGTTTTGATTTTGCTGTTAATTCTGATCAGACCACTCGAAGGTCTACCTATCCGTATATATAAACGTACACGTTAACTTCACCCGTCTGGCATTTTAATTTGACTTGTACGACTGGGATAAAATACTTTTTACGATATCTTATTGTTGTAAATGTAATGAGTTGCACTTTTTAAAGCCAAGCGTTTCGAGATGGTACCTTTTTTTTATTTGTCCTTTGGGGTACGAACGTAATAGTAAAAGCCAAGAGAAATTGGAAAACTTTAAGATGAGAAGTGACTGTCGCAAGATCAAGAGTAAGTAATCCCGAGAACTGATGATTTTCTTAACTCTACGCAGATGATAAAGCCAAATTGAACGTGCATCTGAATGGTTAAACAATCCACGTTTTACAGCAGCCATTTTGAGGCTCTAATTCACTCCCCAGCGACTTGTCCGGTCTCTTTTATTCTTCTTTTTTTTTTTTTTTTCATTTTCTTCGGAGTAAAGTCGACCCGTGCACGTCCGTACGAAATTTCCTCTAGCGAAACTCAACGTAACAGGGGAAGGGTGAGTTTATTTCCTCCGTTCTAACGAAGATGAAAAAGACAAGAGAGAGAGATCTCTGCGAATGATGTAGGGTTTATTTTCCGAGACGAGACTGAGTAATTAACGCTTCGAAAAAGTCAGGAGTGAAAGCACTTTTTCTAGAGACGTGCCCCTGCTTTATTCGTTTCCCGTCTAAATTTTCAATTTTCCTTGCAGAGACTACCGCGATTCCTTAAAAATATATGGGGTATCCCACTCATTTCCTAAAATTCTACCTGTCCCTTTGAAGGACAAAAACTGCTAACGATTGAAATCTTAAAACGTTTTACCAAAGTTTCATTTTTTTTTTTTTTTTTTTTTCTTTTCTTTTTTTAAAAGGACTATTAAAATTTTTTTTCCTTGATGGCTTTTTTCTTGTATAGAAAACTAGAAAAATTTGATACAAATTTTTCCAACGTTTCCTCGAGAGCTCGTCAACTTGAGACATAATCTGATTTTAAAAGTTTCGTACAGCTTTTTTAAAAAGCTCTAACAGTTTCGCGAATAAAAAAAAGTATGTCTATTCATGTCAACTGCCTGGTTTTTAAAATATCGATTAAAACTTGACAAACAAATTAAATTTCGAGGTACCTATTTTCGCAAAACATTTTAAATTACTGTGCCCCATTATATCAAAGTACAAATATCATTATGGAAATAGCAAATGAGTTCTACAACCATTCGTAATACCTTACTTGTGTGTGCTTTGTTGACGAAAAAAAAAATATATAAATAAATAAATAAATAAATAAATGAAAAGAAAGAATAAATAAATACAACAGTACAATTTTAACTTGTAAAAAGAAACAATTGAAGTACTTACTTTGAACGACAATATTCATGTACACGTACACCCATGTAAGGATTAAGTCAGAACTTTTTTTATATTACGTAAACTTACATAAATTCCTACTTGATTTATATGTAAATTTCTTTCAATAAAAGCGCGAGGACAACTGCTATTGTTAATTTTACGCAAATTTATAATTGGGAAAAAAAAAAGAAACCTCAGCGGTAAATTAGCCACTCTGTATAAGAGGTACGGTGTCGCAAGCGACTCTGATGAATTGCTCTTGTGGGTCGACGATGGGGCTCGGGGTTTAAATTTGAAGGCATCATCCAACCCTCATGTCGAAAATGAGGTGACAACGAAGACGGCGTTGCCGACAAAACACGGTATGGCAGCGCTTCCAGTTGGTTAATACGTAAACTGTCGTTAGCGATCAAAGCTAGAAACGAGATAACGAGGAATCGCGTGACACACGTTATACATGTATGGAAGGGCACACCCATACACACACACACGCGCGCGCGCGCGCGCGCATATTCCTTTCGACGTGTACCTGTAAATATGCAGGTTTCCGTGTGATACGAGGCGAGACGAAAGTGCCTCGTCGTGTTCAAGCTCCGAAAATTGCGAGCGTCACCCCGTCAAAACTTGACGGTTCAATTAAGCCCGAGGCTCGTACCTAAAGACCGCAAAGCGCAAAAACGCTACATCCTTCACACTGTTACCCGTCGAAAGTGCACACCGCTCGACGATGACTATACCCTCGATGCGCCTTACCTCTGAATTCGAGAATAGTTCAACTTGCATGGCTTTCAGCGTAACTTGCTTGTCCGTTACTTTGTACACTCTTGCGCCTTGTTTTTCATTCCCCTTACTTTTTTCATTTCCAGCTTTGACTCATTTAAAAAAATTTTTTCAAACAAATAAGTCAACGTCTACCGAGCTTACCAAATTTTGTAAATAACAATGTTATGATGAACCCGTGTGATGATTTATTTACAGCTCTGTAATCTCTATAATTATACTGTTCTAGAATGTAAAAAAAAATCAAATCAAGTGGGGTTGATATACATCAGACATCATAACAAAAAATATTTAATACATGCATCTCATGTACTATGTAAATGTGCGTGTACATGTAGACATGTAAGAATTTTCAATTCGATTATTCACAATCTTCACCGACTTTTACCACGTTTGTAAGCTTAAACGTTGAAACAACAAAGATAAACGTAAACTTAAAAATAGCTATTACCAATTAATGTGGCCAGAAGCTTTTGTACAAACTCATGTATAAACTCTGACACCAAATAAATGATAATGATAAAACTGTTGTAATAATGTATGATAAATAAAAAAAATAAAAAAATAAAAATTAGCGAACCAATTAAAAAGCAATGATCTGCTTATATTTGCAGAATGGCCGAGCAAGCAGCGAGAGCAGCGAGGATGGAGCGGGCAGCAGCGCGAGCACGTCTCGAGGAGCCGGGAGCAGCTGTGCGGGTGGCTGGCGTAGCGTCTTTGGCGCCGTGTCCGGCAGAGAGCTCAGGCTGTACGAGTGCGCCCCGTGGAGTCCCGAGGCCTGGGCGTCGCCCAGCATTACATGTCCCCTCATTGCTACGAGGTATGCCAAAATTATTAATTATTATGTCCGTTAACTCCATTGACGACAATATACCTAACTACTGGCTCGTGGCGTCATTAAATATCAGACTCGTAAGTAGCTTTTTTCTAGCGAAAGAAATAAACGATCGCAAAGAGAGATAGGTATGTCACAATCATAATGTTTTTACTTGTACTAACTCTTTTTTTTTTTTTTTTTTTTTTTNTTTTTTTTTTTTTTTTTTTTTTTTTTTTTTTTTTTTTTTTTTTTTTTCTTCTCACAAGTTTACTTCATTATAAAAGCTACGAATATTATATCATAACAACAATTTTTCCAGCACCAAATTGCATCAGTGTACATACACAAATATATCATAGTAAGCCAGAAATCTGGAGGTTCTGTACAAAGCAGGGCCTACTATGGTTTCTCGTGTCAGTAACCTTAATCGATGATAACATAGATTGACCAATGATATTTCTTGATCGCTGTTACTCATTTGCTCGATATTATATCAAAATAAATTTTCAGTGGCTTTTTAGACTTGCCTCAAAGCATTATATACTCATAGTATAGTGCCTAGTGCCTACATTTTATGATTAATAGACTTAACAGAACTTGCGCCAATAGCGTCACAAGTGAAAGTCCAATTTAAAAAAAAACTCAACTCTTTAGTTACTTGTCATCGACATAAAATCACAGGGAGAGCAAAGAAACGCAAATGTTTATTCAGGAAGTAATAATCTCACGTGAATTGCTGTGTGTCCGGTGTAGTCTCTCGCGCTTGGGTACAACTCGCCGACTTAGCCCCCATGTATAGGTGTATTACCCAGGAATAATGTCATTGTAATCTGATGGACTACGGGGCTCGCTATGGGTTAAATTCCATTAAGAGTTTCGAATTTCAGTGTGTGCGTGGAAACCTAGGTACGCCTTGAGAGAAAAAATTAATATAGTAAAAAAATTGGGGTTATTTGAAAACATATAATTATAATATTCCTACTTATTATTTTTAAGCTTGGACGTCTGCTATATTTAATTACGTTATGGGCCAGTAGTTATGTTACGAACTGTTTATCCATATGGATATTAATTCAACTGTTTCGCCATCTACTACACCGGCAACTTTATTGATTGAACATTGAACATGGTTACCCGATTTATTTAACACCATGATATTGAAATGCATGAAAAATAATAAGTCACGTAGTCAGTTTATCTTTTGTTTTATTTTTGACTCGTGGGCAATAAACGGCAAGTACACGCAGTGGAATATCTAATGTTCATCCTGCACCTGACAATCGAGTAATAAATGCTCTGTACTTCTTGGCTGACACCGAACCCTTGGGTGCCATAAAAGTCAAGGACCATGACCGAGAAACCTCGTGCACAGGTCTCACCCTGACCTACGCGACTTTTCTTTGCTAACGTCCCACTCTCGAGGGAATACGTTCAACCTCATATTACAACTCCTCCGCCACTCCTTATCCCTCCCCCACACCCTTGCATGTGCCATACAGCCGGTATTGCTGGTACCTAAATTTATTTTTGCAATTTTCATATTCTGCGACGATTTATACAGGCATATCCTTCCTTATGATGCATTTTATATATATTTAACTATACTGTATTGAAAAAAAAAAAAAAAAAAAAATGCCCCATATTCGACTAATTCAACATTAGTTTTCATCTCGTCTTTCATTGTGTGCAATGAAAATTTTTAAGCAGCTTCTACAGCGTTTCTTTTTTTTCATCAAGGCGCAATTGATCGCTTTTACTTTGAACTTGTGCGCTCACTCATAAATTTAATAGCTTAAACCTTTTTTTTTTCTACCAAGACTTTTAAAAATTTCCTCAAAATGGTAGGGCACGTACTCGGAACTCCTCACGTAAGGGTCACCCTTTCATAAAGCGAATGAGCTATATACTTGCTCCATAATCTGATAATCTACACGAATTATCCCACAAAGAACCGTTTCTCTTGAATCCAAACTCCCGCCCAACTCCAGCTCTCCTCTTGACGAAGAAAATAATATCCCCCTTCGTTGCTTTCCGTCGAAAAATTGGTGCAACCAGCGCAGAAGTGAGGGAAAGTAGCGGGGAGAAAAGAAAAGAAAAAAAAAGAAGAGCAAACACAGCCTCACCGCAATCGTATGCGGGAGTAGCGGGGATGATAACAAGAGCTGGTACTATACTTATACTTATCACCACCTTATATACGTAACCGGGTAGGTGGTGAGGAGAGCGAGATAGATTCCCGGTTAACTAATAGCGAGTGATTAATCGTTAGAGCCGAGCTGGCTACCGCAGGTTACCCTCACCCTCGTCAAACAGGCCGTAGCACGGCTGTGCTATATGGTGCCACTACAACAGCAGCGGTATTACCATTACGAAGCTTTGGCTATGGGTATTACCATATATATGTATATTCGTGATCAGCAAACACGAGCGGTCAGCAACTGCAGCATGTGTATACACATATACCGCGGATGAGCGAACGAACGCACGCACGAACGAGTATGGGTACTACAGGTATGCCCTACACATAGTCGATATTATGTTATGCACCTATAAATGACGTAAACATATATATATATATATATATATATATATATAGGGTTATAATAGTACAATCCTATATAGTAATAGCATATGGGGTTTAGGTGTTATTCCGTATGTTTGCGCGTACAATATCACGAATAGTGATTTATATTGACGAGTGAAATAATGTGCCCCCCTATGAAATAATTATCGATTTATTTGCACTATTACGTATGTCTATCCACCTACCTATACGCGGTGTAGGTACACAATATACATTAGGTACGTATACCTGCTCAAATGCTCAAAGTAGTGTGCGTGCGCCAGTGTAATAAGGTGGATGTCCCAGTACTCGCTCACTTAAGCAGACGAAATGTTCCAATAGTCGGTCACTTTTTTTCTTTTATGGGCCTTCGTTATATTTTCAATTGGGTTTATACATTAACTTGTATTGAAAGAGTAATTGCTTAGTGTATGAATAGCTACCCGATTTATATAAGTTTTGAAAATTTATAGTGAAAAAATCAGCCAGATGACCGACTACTGGGACATGACCGAGTACTGGGACATCGACCTTAGACCCCCAATCGAATATTATCGTATGCTTACTGCATAATCATTTTGTATTTGTGGTGCACATAGTAGTGATACTTATACATATACGCATACGCAGGTAAAATAGCGTTTGCTAATCGAAACAATTAGGGACGGGATCCATCACTGATGGAGGTCACTGATCTCACGTGTAGGTGCCTGTAATATACGAGTCTTGAAAATAATATCTGCAAATATACATACGTTGATATATTGTTGCCAATGTAGGTACACGTAGATTTACTTGTTACAAAGTTACGCGATCAAAAGTTAAGATGAAGAATGTTTCTTTTGTTGTTAGCTCAATGAGTTATCAAGGTGTAGATTTTTTTTTTTTTTTTTCGACTTTGTAGCTCTTACAGTTTTCAACTTTAACCATCTAAATTTAATGAGATCTCAAAAATTCCAGCGATAAGTCACTCTCGTAGCAGCTAAATTCCAAATTTACGTGTACTGGTATGCTCACCCTATATTTCTTGCTTCATTGTAACTTCATTCCTCTAACAAATTTAAATTTGAATTTATGCAAGTAAGGAAATAACTTTTGATTAAACATGCACCATCGCAATTTGATCACTAGGAAATGTTAATTGCAAATAATTAACTTTTTGAAATTAGACCTACGTGATATATAGCTGATGATGAAAGAACAAGAAATATGAAACTAAATTTGCTATAACGATTGCAGTGCTTTGTTTTGCTTTACGTCCGAGGAGAGACGCAGTACCCTGCGTGTTATATGTATATAACACGCATGCACCAAAATACGAGATCAAAATCGCCAAAATATAATCGAATTAGCAGAGGTGAGTAGAGATGGGCTGGCCGCGGCGGGGTGCTCCGATCAGTGCCAAAAAGTCGTCTCGCATCGTAGCATTGGCGTTAGCAATCTCTCTACTCATCTCTGGAATTAGAAACTATATGCATAAGTGCGTAGGCGATAAAAAAGTCTTTGTTGGTAGTTACATTCTTATTTGTACACCTCAGAGAGTTGAATATTCAAAGGTAAAGTTGGCGTCCCGCACGGGCGTGGTTATAGTTATAAAGCTTGTTAATTGTTGTTTATCATCATCATCATCATCATCATCATCATCATCAACTGAACAAATACTACTTTACTCATCAGCAATTGCAGCGATAAAACTAGATGAAAAAAAAAACAAACAAAAAAAAACTAGAATTAATCAAATAGTAATTAGGTATGCTAAGAGTGCCCGCTGCATCACGTATAACGATCAAGTCAACTTTTGGTGCGAGGCCTCCGGAATTGTTAGCAAATATCATGTGGGGGAGAGCGCCAAATGTGTGAACTTCTCATGTGGAACGTTAGTTTGCCACAATCATTTCGTGCCCCTGCAGTCACACGTAAATTCAAATTTGATTCGCACCTGGTAGTTGCGTTTTGTCCGTGCAATATATATATGTCCAATATATATATATATATATTTGTCCGTGCAAGGCCCTCGAATGAATTAATGAGCCAACCCGTTTGGTCTGCAGAATGAAGGCGGAGAGGCACAAGCATGGAACACATAGTCGGAGATGCTGCTGCGAAAATGTGGAATACGTGTGCTCCTGCAAAATCACCAAAAAGTACCTATTTATATGAGTATTGTATGTATGTATTTATGTATAAAAATTTAGGGTATAGATTAATCGCGATGATATCTAACGACACTGATTCGCGGAATCTACGAATTTTAGACGGCCCTCATTGAGACAGCGACATTCCTGCACATTGATAATCTCGAAGGTGGACATGCACTCATTCGACGAAAGCGCCCTCGATCCAAAAACTCTGATTTCAATCCGCGACACAATCTGCAGCTTCTGAGAGTGATTTATCTTGTTCCTCCCGATTCGTGTTGTTGCCACCGTTTGAAATCAACTACAAGTAAACCGGAGCTTGACGAAATAGACCGAGAGCGAGCAAGCACGTGTGTGAGGGTTTTACATTGTTAGGTTTAGGCATGCCCTACGAGAGGCGTGTGAAGCTTCTCCGGTGCTGGACATAGGAGTCCGTCCGTCCGTGTCGATGTGGGCTCGCGACCAAGTTGGATTAATTTGCCCCAACCGAGGACGAGGTAGTTGCCGTTACACGTGTCTCCCGCTATCCCCATACTCACGCCAATAACCCTATCTGGTGATTTCCGTTCGTTCGTTCGCTCTTCTTCTTGATGTCCATGCTCATTCCTACGATTAATCAAGTCCACCGTGCACCTTTTTCATTCGACTCTACCGCATCCTGCCCTCGGTCTTCTCGCGTCGTAATGTGTTGATGCTCGGATCTATTGAATTACGTATACTTGAATAATTGTGATTTCGAAGGTTAATCACGGATATACCTATAATTACCATTAAGAAAATTACATCAAAGCCGGTGAAAATTTTTTCGCAGTATAAATAAAGTGAATAGCTTTTGTTGGATGGAGTGATGGAGTTTGTCGGATGCAGATGATGTCAAACTAAAAAGAAATTTCAGAAAAACTTTCATATTTTTGGACATCAATCCATACATCAGACTTATTTTTGCTCACTGCAATGTTATATGGATCGAAATTTTTATTTGGGACCAGCCTAAATCAGAGGCTAAATGCACTTTAAAAACTGCCTGCTCCGGTTAAATATCAATGCTTTGGGTACATATTTTTGTACCAACCCATAAAATTGTCTGTTTAATTATTTACGTAGCGATCCGCGAACGGTGCAACAACTCGTGGTAGAGTGACCTATATTTGTACGTAGATAAAATATGGGTGGAAAATAAAGGGCCGTACAATAAAAGTAGTACAATGTGCGCGCGTAGTTTACGGGGAAAGAGGCGATCGCGAGAGATAGGGAGAGGGAGCTTTGTCAACCAAAAAGCCACTGGGTCTGCATTATCGCAGCCTCGCTCGTGAAAAATTTTTCCATGAACCCGTAGAATCGATCATCCGAGCATGAAGGATGATCCGCCCGGTCGCGCTCTATTCTGTTTTATCCGCAGCGTCGAGCTTTGCTTTTTGCGCTTTTCCCCGCCCGGCCCTCGCAACCCGAATACCTACCCACATAAAAAAAGACAAAACACCAAAAAACTGCCAACCAACGGGAGCAAACAGAATGAAAAAAAAAAAAAAAAAAAAAAAAAAAAGAGGACAGCCACGACGAAAAGTCAACTACATCCGCCGCGTTTAATGCATTTCTGTATGCCTCCTCCCGTACGTATACGACACCGATGTATAGGTCTCATCAGGTCCCACCCGTGAATAGGCTGACTACACCGACACAGGATCTGTTTGTATTGCCGATATCGGAAGAGAAACTGTATATAGATGTATAGACGGGAGTCACAGAGTCATCGCCGTTTATGGGGAAATCGGGCTATCTGTCTTGTTGTTGGAGAGAAAGCCGCTTCTGGGCGCGCGATGAAACGATTTCAGCGCTAGTCGGCCGCACGTGTCCTCGTGGAAAGACAGATAGCGACAGCAGCCGATGCACCCGTTGATTTTGTGCGACGGGCTGTTATATTCCCTCGGTCCTAGTCATCTGACAGCTGCTCTCCTCCTTATACATACACCTACTTACATATTTATCAATAATTTTTTACCGACGCTCGCTGTCTTGCTGTTTCGCCCGCCGCGTGGCATCCTACATAATTAATTCTGCAACCGCAGTACCTACTTACCTATATATTTATAATCTACCCACCAATTTGATAGCTGCACACGTTTATCCTTCGACCTTTCTCTTTTTCTCCGTTACCCTTCCCTGTACTATCGATTACTCGTTGATGCATACTGCAACAAAATACATTGAATTTAATATCAGCTACGACGCTCTCAAGTGTCTTGGATACACCTTGCTGCTGGTGAACGTATAGATGATATCGTAACCGCACACTCGCTCCCCCCCCTCCCCCTAGTCCTACAGAAGAAAAAAATTTGTATAGGTATATTACTTCGTCCGGAGCCCGGAGGGGCTGTGTAGCTCGTGGCACATAAATTCACCGGCTAAGCCCGAAGCGGCTCGGGTCGGAAGTCGTGGTCAAAAATCGGAAGTAAAGAGACCGAAGAGCAGAAACTGCACTATCTATCTCGATTTCACAATACTCATCGAGTGCCCAGCACTATAGCTGATGCGTCCGCATGTATACATGGGAAGTCCAAGGGTGGTTGGTACCCATACCGTTTCTCCAGCACCAGCTCCCTGTGTCCTCCTTCTTCTCTCCCCCCCCCCCTCCCCTCTTTACAAGGAATAACATCTCTCTTTCATACATATATCTATGTACATGGGCACGTGCAGCCGAGAGCCATTCATTCTAGTTCATCGCCTCTATATTTAGGTACAGGTTACAGCTCTACCTACTTAACTACACCCTGGATACGGGTCATCCGCAGTTCCCTTCCTTCCTTCCTTCCTTCCTCTTTCCTTGTCCTCCTAGCTCCCATGTACCGATAATACCTTGTACTCAAACCACATAACTCTCTGTGCTCTTTGTTTATTATTATTATTACTTTTTTTTTTTTTTTTTCAATCCCATAAATGGAGGTAGCCCGGCTCTCGAACTATTTACGTGTGATCTTTCACACGAGGGAGCATCAGCTATTACAAACAATTATACTTTTTTGGCATTCTATACAAACTTAAATTCCAACGTGGGTGTATTCCGAGAATTCAAAATGTTATCCTTTACAATTTCATGTCTTACATCATAGTTAATACTGCAGCTTACAAGCTTATGCGTTCTTTCTTTTGTTTATTGACGGGACTTACCCCCTGTTGTATATATAATGTAACATATTATAACCGTCGAATAAAAAGACCCGTATGCTCGATACGTACAAATAACGATAAATCAAATCGAGACACTGTTTGAAGTTCAGAGCACATAATATATAATGTTATAATAAATATTTCATTTGCGCTACTTTATACATTGTATAATAAAATTATAGTTAGATTAACGCTTAGATGTGATTCATACGCCAAAAGTAATTTTAATGGAATTTTGTACGCTTTGCAGTAATCTTATGCTTTCTTCTTATAAAAATACTTGCACAGATTTCGACGCAGTTGTAAGCGTAATAAAATTAAATACCTGATTGTAAAATTTTCCCACTCGAGGGTTTTCCCTCAGCACAATATTAAACAGCCGTTTAGTTCAAGCTGAGCTATGTTTAGTTTTATTATTTTTTTTATTTTTCTTTGTTCAATAAATTCTTATAAACATATTGTTTGGCTTATTTCGAGCAACCAAGATTTTTTTACTTTCCTTGCCCAAAATTTGTGCACCCACCTAGAGAACTTGAATGATTGTTTTCAGAGCTGAAAGTGAGCCATCAGGAAATACGAAGTATAAAATAAATTTGTACGCACCGAGGGAACAATTACCTATCGTTATTTATAATCAGCATATTATACCTACGTAATGTTGTTGTATAATGTACAACTAGTCTCTTGTTTGTTGATTTGTATGAATAGTGTTATCCACGAGCCACCGGTACATGTATGGCACGCTCATGATTAATCACCTGTCATCGAGAAAACAGTGCCCCATGCATAGTGTACTTTTACAATTCCAATAAAATATATAAATGTACCTATTCCTGTTCCATTTCAGGCTGGTCTCGTCACCCGCAAAACAACAGAACGAGGCCTCCGGCGGCTGCTCAAACGCCGCGTCACAGTACGGCGCGACCTTCGCAGTACGCGTAGGCACGATCGATGGCGTCATAACGCACAATTTGAGGGCAGAGACCAGGAGGGACCTCGCCGCTTGGGCCAGGGCGATAGTCCAGGGCTGCCACACGGCTGCTCACTCTCTCAGGGAGTACACCGTTCGTAAGTATATATAATTATATTGTAGACAGGTACACCTATTTATCGTCCACCATCGCCACTATGTCATCATTGTACGTACTATGGATGCTTACTTATCCGCGTTTCCTTAGACTCTACAGTTATTATAACTTGACGCTTGTATCCATCATCGGTGGGCAAAAAGAAAGAAAAAAAAAAAAAAACTTTTTCAGCACAAGTTTTGCCCTAAACTTACAAGATGCATTGACTTTAACCCTGTTATACTTATCATTTATTAAGACTTAACTAAAAATCTCCGTTACGATTGACCCCTGAAAATTAAGACTACCCATAGGTATCTGTTTAACTAAACGTACACGCCGATGGGTTAAGGGTTGATGATTTGCAAATTACAACGATTACAGGTAATGTGTAATGAGACCGTGCCAGGTAAATACAGCTCGTTTTTGTTACCATGAATTATAAAGATTCGAGGTGGTGGAAAAAAGCGTTTCTATCAAATGAAGGAAAAAGGCCAGAGAAGTAAAAAAAAAAAAAAAAAAAAAAAAAAAAAAAAAAAAAAAAAAAAAAAAAA